TGGCTGGTGCCCCATACTACAGTCGCCTGGAGCCTGCACGGGGCTACCTGTGCCTGCTCTCCATTGCCACTGCTGCCCCACAAGGCAGTGTTGATGCAGCGGAGAGGCAGGACAGCCCCACACGGGCTGCAGCAGGAAGTGCCAGCCACAGGGCGGGGGGCAGCAGCTCCTGCCCAGCAGCAGTTCTATGGAGCTAGGCCAGCTCCCCCCTCTCCCTGCTGGTGCAGTCCAGCCTGGCTCCACAGACCCCTGCCAGCCTGTGCCCCACACTCCTACCGCCTCGCTCTGGGCCCGGGACACCGGCACAGGCCCCACACTCCCGCTAGCTTCCGCTCTACCCCACCCCCGCCTTCCTGTCCACCTGCCAGTGTCCAACTGCATGGCCGGACCCAGGGGCTCAGCAGGAGCTTGTCTGGCCCAAAGGACTGGGGCGATCTCCACATTCCTCCCCTGCCTCTGGTGCAGGAGCCTACCAGGACTTCACCTGGGTCCTACTGCCCTGACTCATGTCATCTTTGACAGGAACAAGGGGTAGATAAATATTAATTTTCTAAACTGTTTAGGGTCCCCACGGGCTGGACAGAACAGCCTGGCAGGCTGGATTCAGCTGGCAGCTGTACTTTCCCTACCCCTGCCCTAAAGGAAACAGTTTCTTTTAGCAAACATGTTTTGTGCTGCCACAATGAGTCATACAGAAACCCAGAGGTGACTAGTAGAGGGGGTACAGGGAGGGCATACCCTGACAGGGCCATCCCTGCTGTTGACATGGCCAGCGGTATCTGCAGGTGCTTGTCAGCCCTGTCCCCACCGCCAATGCCACTGGTGGCACCTGCAGGTGCTCACCAGCCCTGTCCTGACCGCCAGCGTCACTACCGGCTTCTCTAGGTACCCCCGCCCAGACTCAGGAGGCACCAGTCACCGATGCAGAAACCTTATCATTTCTAAAAGGAACATGCTTCCTTTTACAGCTGCATCATTCTCACCTCTTCATCCCTGGCCTAGAAATCTCTTATCTTCTTTCATAGGTTAGATGTGGTTACTCTCCCTACCCAGATATGTACAGAATTTTAAATCAGAATCCTAGTAAACTGTGGCACAGACTCAAGCAATTCTCCACCCCAAAAGCCTTGGTCTCCCTTGGAACTCTGACAGAGAACATAAAGAAGGCTTTAATACCATTTAAGGGTCAAGATAAACCAAATGCCCATATACTTAAAAAGCCTTTGAGTAGAGAAATAAAGACACACAAGAGGAAAAAGTTCTAGGAATCTCTCTTGGACTAGAGAATTTAGAACCTGCCTGCCTGAAAAACAGAACTAGCTCAAAAAAAAAAAAAATATCCAACTGCTCTCATTTTAAAGCTTCTTCTTATATTAAAGCTACACATTTACTTAGAGGTCTTAATATAATGAAAAAGCATGTGAAACATGACCAATATTTTTCTGGAGTGCCATCATAACTACACCTTATCTAGGTGACTGAAAGAAAAAACTTCACTTTTGACTACCCCCCTACTATTGCAATAATTATTCCATTTCAGAAGGCCTTCAGAAAAGGCCTACTACTGACTGCTCTACAGGAGCATAATTATCTTGAAGGCATTAAATCTGAAAATATTAAACTATATAACCGCTTAATATAGTGAACGTTCATACACAGCAAAAAGATCTAGTGTTAAGGTTGTACTTAGCTGTAACTCCACAGCAGTGATTCTCAACCAGGGTACCACAACACCCTGGGGTAACCCGAGATCCTTTCATGGGTGACAGAGTTATCACCCAAAGTTAGCATTGTTAGGTGTACAAACGCGATTCATAAAATAATCCTGAGATTTCCCACAGAAATTCAAGTGTCAGAAACACTCTGACCCAGTGTGGTCCTTCAGACCTCTCTACAGCAGCAGGACTGCTCTATTATTTTCCTGTAGTAAAAAGAGTGAAAGCTAACAGCTGACATTTTCCAAGGAGTGCCTTGATCTAAAAAGGTTGAGAACTACTACGTTATATTAACCAATAAGAATCCACCTTTCTTTGGAAAGTAACTGATGTACAAAATGGAAAAGTTTACTAAATGTAAACTGAAACTTTCCACTTGGCAATTTTAATTGCTTTTATTTAAATGAGTTTACTCCAAAGCGATCAGTTCAGCACAGCAGGCATCCAATCATAAGCATACCTGATCCCCAGGATGGTTAAGGGGGTAGGGTACAAGGAAAATGTAAAGACCCTCTCTGGAACCTCTAGGACTAAGGTCTACTAAACTAAACTAAACACAGTAAAGGTTTTATCTGCACAGAGTACATGCCAAATAATTTTTCCTCCTCTGCACTTGACTAAAGTGTTGGGCCAGATGGCAAAAGACAAAGATTTATAAAGGCAGAACGGAGAGTGAGAGCGGAGCCAGGTCATTATCAGATGCTGAATCCCATCAGGTGTCTCCAGTCACTGCAGTAGCCAAGCGTGCAACAATTAAGCTATTCACCACAGGAGCTGGCAAAGAGCACAACAATAATGATGTAAGGACTTCAAAAAACTTGTGGTGCTACAGTAGTCTATTCCACATACCATACTATATTCCAAACTACAAGATTGCTGGGCAAGAAATATCAGCCATATCATGCCTAGAATTTAGACCAGGGACTGAAGACAAGATGTATCTTTTTCCTGGATACAATGATTAACTTTCATTGTAAAACAGTGTAAAAAGAGGACTGACAGATAAAATACTATGGTATTCATATCAAACTGAATGCAATTAATAACTGTTCACTTGTGATAGTGGTTTAGATAATGAAGAGGAATAATTGTTTAGAGCAGTGGTGTCAAAGACGATCCACTGGGGTGTGGGAAGAAAATATTAGAACTTCTATTTATATTTATATAAATATACGTATATTGGGGGTGCGTGCTCAAAAATTTTTTACTGATAGGGATGCACAATCAAAAAAGTTTGGAGACCACTGGTGTAGAGTAATCCAAAAGCTTAGAATAAAGGGTTATGAGATTATTTTAACTGCAAGAAGAAAATGATTTAGCTTCATAATGATCACTTGACACATTACCTAGTCCATTTGATAGTGGAAACTCCAAATTGTGATCCCATAGCTTCATTATCTTGGCTAGAAAGATTAGACTTCTGTTTTGAATGACGTATCTTTACAATATAAAAAGGTTAACACACTTTCTTTCTAGAAATCAAAGTTCAAAATTTTTAAATGAAGCAAATTTTGTCTACAGGCCAAATTACAAAATTGGCATTAAAAAAACCAAACCAAAAAAGGTGAAATTTTCTTTGCCTTCATAATTTAAAAACAGATGGTAAAGAACTTTGATTCCTAAAGTGTTATTTGACAGAACAAGACATATCATTTTATCCCATTAGCCATCTCCAATTTCTACAAATTTTCATCCATTGCTTTACAAAGTTCCATCCTTTTTACCTGAGATTTAAACTTAATTATGAAAGACTACTTTAAAACAAACAAAAAAAACCCCTATTTATGTGGAATTTCTCAAGTTTCTATCCTGCCAAATTAAAAATGCACTGGAATGAACTTCATCTCAAATTAAAATATAGTTTTAGGAATTCCATTCTCAGGCAAAACCTGAAACATGAAAAGATTCTAAAAAAAAAATGTTCTTTTGCCTGAAAATTATGATCCTCTGTTCAGAGATACTTTAAAATGGAACACAGACAACAACTGTACATGTGTAACTCATTGCCAGCAAAAGCTATAATTACAAAAATAAACTTTAAAATTATTCAAATTTAAAATGTACAATTTTCAGCATCTTTAAGTACATATATGAAGCAATAAAGATAAATAAATCCAGGAGACTCAAATTAAATTGTTATACCTTTATTAAAACAAACAATCAACAAATAGTCAGAGAACACACAATGTTTGCCTAGACCCATTCAATATATTTACTTCACCTACCACACTGAAAACAAATACTCCCACTGAAATAGCCTCAATGCTACTCTGCAACCAGGATTTCCTCCCACCAATACATAGAAGATCCTTAACAAGATAATACACCTCAGCAAATTTATTTATATTTTCCTGAAAATTTTCTTCAGTGACTGTAAGGTCAGTGTACCTAGTCAGAAGGAAACTCAAGAGAAAGCAGCTGTATGAGAGGTGGCTCTGATTAACAATACTGTAGAAGGGGACACTTGCCTGCCTGTATACAAATGCCAGGAGCTTGGGGAATAAGCAGGAGGAACTCATCCTCCTGCTTAACACAAATACTTACGACATCATAGGGATAACAGAGACCTGGTGGGACTCCACCCATGACTGGACCACAGGTATAGACGGCTATACCTTGTACAGGAGAGATTGAGTAGATAAAAGGGGCGGAGGTGTAGCTCTCTATGTTAAGGAAAGCAATGCGTCCCTGCAACCTGATGCTGGCGACCAGAATGGACGACTGGAGACCCTCTGGGTTAAAATCCGTGGGGAACATGGCACAGGGGACATAACGGTGGGAGTCTACTACAGACCTCCCACCGGAAGTCAAGAGCTTGACCAGGAGTTCACCTGAGAACTGGCTGAGGCTGCATGCTCCAGGACCATGGTTGTCATGGGCGACTTCAACTACCCAGACATCTTGCAGGAGGATCACTCAGCAAATCCGAGCATGGATGACCTCTATCTGACTCAAGAAGTCTATGGTCCAACAAGAGGTAAAACGCTGCTTGACCTGGTACTGGCTACTGGGGATGACCTAAAATC